TATATATATATTATATATATATATATATATATATATATTATATATATATAACCTGTGGCTGGCTAACCAGTCACAACGTAGACTATTAACATATAATTTTTTGGATTGACTTCTCTTGTTTCTTCTTTATTTCATCTCAACGGATTACTGGAGAGAAAAAGGAAGTTCTTAACCACCTTTTTCTTTTAGTTTTTTTGTTTTTACAGACAGTTTGTCGACCAAATTTTGTCATATTTTTAAATAAACCGCCCTATTGTACTGGAGTTGGTAGTAATACGCCTTGTTGTTCTGTCACTCGTTGACCTCTTGGCATCTGTCTTTTCACGTTGTTGACGTTTAACACCTGTTGCCTTCATTTCACCGGCAGCACTCGACAAGCTCTTAGTGATAACTTCATTATTACTTTTAAATTACTAAAATTTTTAATTAAACATTAGAATAATGCCACCTAAAATTAAAATGAAATCTTAATTATTTAATTACTGTTGGAAGTGCATTCTTGGACCTTTTAGTTCTTTTCTACACTAATTTTGTTTTTTATACATGTAAAGTTTTTACCTATATTTTTTTTTAACATACATGTACAACTACCACATGTTTTTTTTTGCTGTGCTAATTTTATGAAAATTGTCAACTATATTTAGTTCAATTTATTGTTTATACAACATAATTATACAATGTCCATTGTCGTAAGCTTCTTTACAATAATTGCGAATATCTTTGACTGCTACATATCTTTTTGAGGTAACATACTTAATAGCTTTTCATTGGATGTTAGGTTTTTCATATTGTTCTTTTTAGATGAACTGATGATGCTATCAAATTGGATAGCGAAACGTTTTCAATAAATAGATGAAGTAGCCATCATCTTTGTCTCTTTTCTACAATTTTTGACCGAAAAACCCGCCACTCTTCGAGTGATCCTTATTTTATATATATATATATATATATATATATATATATATATATATATATATATGTATATATATATATATATGTATATATATATATGTATATATATATATATATTTATATATATATATAATATATATATATATATATTATATATATATATATATATATATATATTATATATATATATATATATATATATATATATATAGACACAAACAAATGGATAATAGCACACAAAAAATATTCAAAATTTGATATCCTTAGGATAAAAATACCACCCCAGAGTTTTCAACTAATAGCATGGCTATTTGCTTTTAAAATTGAGACCAAAGTAAGTCACCCGTCACTTTGAAAAAACATAATCCCTAAAACAACCTTTAATTATAATAATATTCACTATTTTTTGAAATAATCTTTTTTGACAACGATTTCCGCCGTAGAAATCGAAACGTCAAACATCAATTATAAAATGCAATTTTCATTACAATCTGTCCTAATCCCATATAAACATAATGGAACAGAGAAATTAGCAAATAATAAGCTGAAAACAGTTCAGAATCTTTTTAAAAATCTTTAAGTTATGTGTTATTAGTATTTGAGTCCTTACGTAGTTTAAATTTTAATACTGTCATATGGTTTGGATTCATTATTTTGTGAAATAAGTTGTTTTGATTATTTTACGGAAACTGAAAAATGTTTCTATACTTGAAATTGATCAAGAACTTTCTAAACAATACAACGCCGGACGAAAGACTGACGGCGCTTGCCGTGTTGTCCATCAAAAAAACTTTAGTTGAAGACATTTGTGACTGTAACGAAAAGGTGATGAAAAGATTCATCTCAGATAAAAATAGAAGGATTGAGTTTCAGTGTAAGAAGTAGGTTTTTGGTAATTGCCCGGAAATTGTAAAGTAAATTTATTTTTTTGTATTCTCGAATCGGCACACCCTGAACAAAATTATCACCAGCCGCCACTGTCATGTGGCAGCGAGTATCAGAATGAGCGGAGAATATTGTTAATAATAATAATCATAATAGACAAGACAAGAAAATATAATTAACACACACTTCTCTTTGTGCGGAAGCACATGTGATTCGATGATATGTTAAATTAATTTATGTGTTTAGCACAATGAAGGAAGCTATTTCTCTATCAGTGGAATAAACAGAAATCAATGGAAACTAACAATGGTTAATTAAACCTACCCAACTTGCTATGCTTCCTAATTGTACAAGACACATATTCATTAAAATCAACTCATTATTTTTTGCGGGTGAAATACTACATAGAGTAAACTTGATTTGTCAATTTTCTTGCCGAAGAAGAAATATTTATTTAATTTAAAATGCATTAAAGATATCATCGACAACAAAAATATAATTTTAATAAAAAAAACTTTAATTTACAATTGTCTTAAAATCAGAAAATTAGAAATGAATTTGCTTCCCAATATAATTGAAGTATAGTTTAACGAAATACAAAGATATAATATTAAATGATTAAAACCAATGAATTATGGATCAAATATTTAATCGTTTATTTATTGTTGCAAAATAATAACTAACCCTTATACCTTTAATAAAAACCAAACTTATCAAACCGCATACATTATCACCTTACAATGAACGGCTAAATTATGTAATATTATTATTATTTCGAGAACCGTCGGGTTTTGAGGGAAATCCTGAAACTGGTCGATTTTTCTTATAAAATACCCATCTTATAACGAACATTTAATTTCGAACATTTAATTTAAAATAATTATTATGCATAATTTGGTTACTTTAAAGTGCATTATTAATTAAATCATTAGTTGTAATTTAGTTGAAGTTAAATTAAAAAGAATTGTTTTTGTACCCTTAAAAAAAAATTTTAGCTAAAAATGTAATGTCGTTAAATAGAGAATTAAATTCTCGTTTAAATGAGGGGTCGCATTATACCGATTTATATTTAAAAAATTTAACGATTACGTCACTACACCTACACCGGTGACGTCATACCTACTCCATGGAAGTTATACGATGGGTATTTTATAACAAAAATTTACCTGTTTTGGGATTTCCCCCAAAACTCGACTGTTCTCGAAATAATGATAATATTCCATAATTTAGCAGAAAACACCAATATCTGTCTTCTGTTTCATCCGTGACTCATCTCCTCTGGTAACGGGTGGAGTAGTCTTTTGCAAAAATATTTACAAAAGTGTAATTACAAATATATGCTGTCAATTTAGTCTATCGTTATTTTGATTATGCCTTATTGATTTAAAACATTTATTTAATAATGTAGATACGGCATCATTCCCTTGCGTTCTAGCAGTATCTGTCTGTTTTAGTCAATATTTGGCCCACATATTGAAATGGTTAGCTTTGGTTCCATTTCATGGACATCGCATACCTCAAACGAAGAAGTGCTGCATAGAATAGGCAAGGAAAAGAGAACTTTTTAACACAGTAAAAGTAAGAAAAACATCATACCTAGGCCACATACTGAGAAATAATAAGTACCAATATGCCCAACTTATAGTGAAAGGAAAAATCGAGGGAAAGAGAGGCCTAGGAAGGAAAAGGACTATCATGGCTCAGAAACATCCGACAATGGACAGGGCTAAATTTTGAACAGCTAATAAGAACAGCTGAAGATAGAGAAGAGTTTAAAATTGTAGTAGCCAACCTCCATTGAGGAGAGGGCACTTTAAGAAGAAGAAGGTTCCTTTCTCGTTTGTACTGAGGCGATATGAGTCTGTTCTCTCTAGAGCCACCATTAACATGTCTGGCATGCAAATTGTAGCGGCTGCGACTGTCGTGATAATTAGTGCATATGATTATATGTTGCTACAAAAAGACGAATTTTACGTCATTTTATCTACAGCGTTAATTAAATCTACTAGATATTTAGAGATGCCGTATTTGGCAACTGCAGACTGATAATATAAGTGTAAACCTGACGCCGGGTCCTAACTCGATTCCCAAAATTTCTTAGCCCTCTATTTTGATATTCTGCATCAAACGTGACTTTAATCCATTCCATAATTTAGCCATGAAAGTACACATTTTAAAAGTTACATGACCACACGACGATGATGGTCTATTAGAACAAATTGATCTATATTTCAAAATTAAATGCATATACAAGTACATTTTTTTGTCTGAAAGGTACTGAAAAAACCAGATATGTATTTATATCAGATATATTATTTATTTATAATATATACCAGATATATTATTCATTTATCTAAGAAATAGCTTTTAGAGCATAAACTCCGATCTGATAGACCACCGACGTGTATCGGAATTTTTAATCCTAAAGAACTCAACGGAGGTGGCTCAGGTGGCCGAAGATCGATTTTTATATGTTGTAAATTTGATTCTTAATACCGTCATGGAATGGAAATTTTCTTCGATAAAGTAATTTTTATTTTCTAAAAAGAATGCTGTGTAAAATGATAACACAAGCGTTTTAAAAAGATAAAAGAAGATAATGACTCTTTTTATAAACTGTGTCCTGGCATTAGTTTATTTTCTTTTGCTTTGCTAGATTGTGCAAAATACGCCGATTGGAACACTGCTGTAGCGCCTATTGTGTGGTCGGCATCAACGGCAACACCAGTATTGGCGCCAATGCCTTTGATATGTACGCAAAAACCGACAGTCCACGAAAAACTTCCAACATTGGGGAAATGCTGTTGGGGCCAACGTTGGCCCCCATGTGTGGAGCTGGCGTAAAATGCATTACAATCACGTATCATATAGTATAATCAATCGTTCTGATGTTAAAAAGAATTCAGATGTGCTTTTGTTACTTTAATAAAAACATAAATTACTTACAAATTGTTCTTTCAATATTTTTGAATATCAATATGTATTATGCATACTTTATAATTTTAAATAGAAAGTTGACGTATTTGCTTATGGAATCCAATATTTTCTATATTAGCGATACTACAGATGATATATTATTTCTTTTGCATTGTCTTGCAACTTGTTAATTTTTAATGAAAAGCTTAAAACATCTATTAAATGCCAGAAGGTTACAACTTTGTAGAAAAATAAAAATACTTTACTTATTTCTTTGTATTATCTAGCTATCCATAATCATGGACTACAACTTACTATTCTAAGGAGATACAATCATACTGGCGGGGGCAGACTTACAATTAGAAAACGGGTGTGGCGAAGGAGGGGGTGGTGGGGACAAGAGTTGCCTAACAACGTACATCTTCAACCCGGTAGAAACGTGTACTGGCACACCTAGTCCAGAAAAGTCCCACTTGAAGACGCCAGACTCGTCGACGAAACTCAGTCCTCCCAAGATGTCATCTCTTCGACAGATGTTGCACATATGCATCCCAATTTTCTTTATGGGAAAGTACTACCCGACGGAAAACCCAACTTTCTTACGGATTACGAGCTGAGCTTCAAAAACTGTAATTTTGGAGCGGGAGCTGACCATGCCAAGTGCTGCGTTGGAGGACATTTTGGGAG